TCTTGCATACTTTCTTCACACAAAAATGATAACGTTCTGTGATGTTCATTTGACATCAAGGGATGGATATTGCATAAACTCAATTTCACAAGAAACATCTCTACCTAAAACTAAACAGGACCTAGTGCTAGCTAACATTAAATTGATGGTAGCCTACAAAACTACTACCTTATCATGTAAAAAACTAATGAACACCGTGAACTAGATCGTCACATCAAATATCATATTTCACCCAGCAGGGTCAACAAAGTCATATGTATTTTTCACTTACCGATACTGACCCGGTTCTTTAGTGGGAAACCTGAGAATAAACCAGAGTGGATCAAAAGTCTAAAAAATGACATTTATTGGGTCACAGGCAAAGTACATCAGCTGGGCTCTAACAAGCAAAAACCTCTGTCAGGTCTCAGTGGGCAAAGAGCAGATTACAGTCGCTAATAACTGAAGGCTGATGCTGGCCACCTGCTTTATTTTTCATGAGGTTTTCTGTTGCTGTTTTGTCTATGTTTTGCATAAATTGGTTTATTTAAAACATGGATTTAAATTGACTATATATCCAGGAAAATAGATGTGTTGAGTCATTATTTGGGCTGTTTGTTTCAGCTTTAACCAGAGGCCATGCAGTACAGCCTGACTACAGCGACACTCTGTGGCAGTTTGGTGTAACTACAGCAGGAAAACAAGGAAGCCTGTCTTCAGTTTTCCTCCGTTTAAATCAAAATAGAAAGGAGTTCATGTTACATGCTGGCTGTCCTCTTATTTTTCCTTCTCCTCTCGTGTCTAGTTTTGTCTTGTTTAGAATAAAGGTTCTTCCTGGGCCTGCACATGGATCCCCTCACCTCTGGCACTCGCAGCATAAATCCTGCTAAAGAAGGGGCTCGGAATTAGTGAGTGTTTCCAGGAGATGTCAGGACTCTTCTGAGACATGATTCTAATCCTTTTCTGTGTTGTCCACCTCTCAATAAGCAGAAAACTTTAACATAAGAGTTTATTTTAGAATAACACACATGTCAGTTGTACAGGTAAAGGAAAATGTCTCTGTCTGTTGCTGGGTCTTTGCTAGCTCCTCAGGAAAAGCTGCCACATGCCCCAGAGGGGAGAAGTTCAGTAAAGTCCCACCTCATCCGGACCTGGATCTGGACCTGGATCTGGACCTGGATCTGGATCTGGGTCTGGGTCTGGATCTGGATCTGGGTCTGGATCTGGATCTGGATCTGGATCTGGGTCTGGATCTGGGGGCCTCTTCCTGCTCAGGCAGATGAAACGCAGCAGCCTGGACCCGGCTGAGGAGCGTGAGGGCCCCATCATGGAGTCCGGGGCAGGAAGTGGGTGCAGGACTGGTTGTGGTTCACACTGTTGGCCCTCCTGAGCTGTCCTTTGCGGGAAAGTGCCAGGTAGTAACCCGGGTGGGAGTAAGACAAGTAAGTGTTGTAGTGATTCTCCTCCAGGTTCTCCCTGAACAGGCACTCATCAGAAAACTGCTCCTGGGGAAAGACAACAGAGTCCATGAGTGAAACATCAGGGTTAGGTCACTAAAACGTCCTGATTCTGGTCGTTAGTTCTATGCTTCATATCCCAAATTGGGAAGTTTTACTTTTCATTGGCATTCTCTTTTGTTTTACAATTATTTGCAAATTGGGGGTCCCCCCTGGGATGACTGACATCCGTCCATGGATGGATCCTGCTCTCTGTGGACTGATGGACTCCAGGTAGGTGACCTTTGACCTGCAGACCTCAGAGTGGCCTGATGGGCAGCAGCTGCTCCCTTCAGGCCGTTCTGATGTCTTTCCTCCTTGTGTCTGAATGCTCCCTCACTGAGGAGCAGTAATTCCAGAAATAATGAGACACTTGACTACGTCCTGTGACTGAGTGTGGATGGTTGTACTGAGTGTTCAGAACAAATTAAGAGTAAACACATTGATTACAGATCAGCCAGGGAACGATGAGTCTGTTTAAGCCTACGTACCGCTCCGTATGCCAGTCCTTTGCCTTTCATACAGAGGTACAGGCCACTCCTGACTCCTCTGATTCCCACCACTCCACATTTCAGAGCGAACACCTTCAGCCAGCCTGAAGAGATTCAAACAGCCATTAACAGTCAGACTATGGAGAACCTGAATCAGACACTGTTGGAGGCTTTCTCCAGGATTTACTACAATCCGGTGTTCACTCAGGTCAGCTGTTTGTGTTGGCATGGCAACTCTTCATCACAAATGGGAAGACATGTTTGGAGAGTACACCCAAGCAGCACAAACAGTTGGTCAAGAAATCAGTTTTTGGACATGTTCAAACCAAAGTCCGACTCGGAATAGAGAACAGGACCTGTTCTATTTGTTGTGACTCCCTTAATTCATCCTAAAAAAACACAGCAGCTGGGTACAGACTCACAGTACTCAGTGGGTTTGTGCACTCCTCCCACCAGGCCACTGGGGAGGATCTGGAGATGGTAACCAATCCCAGCTCGGCAGTAGAGCAGCTGCTGTTTCACCACCTCTCTGTCTGGACCTGCGTTACAAACAGTTCAAAATGAATAGCCGCCCTGGACAGGTGGACAGGCCCTGGACAGGTGGGCAGGCCCTGGACAGGTGGGCAGGCCCTGGACAGGTGGCCACACCCTGGACAGGTGGGCAGGCCCTGGACAGGTGGCCACACCCTGGACAGGTGGCCACACCCTGGACAGGTGGACAGGCCCTGGACAGGTGGGCAGGCCCTGGACAGGTGGCCACACCCTGGACAGGTGGCCACACCCTGGACAGGTGGGCAGGC